ATCAGACAGAGTTAACGTAACGTTTCCAAATTACAGACCAGTTTTGCTGCATACAAAACCACGCGTCTATATCGAAGATATCACTGTAAAGACCGGGCTAATCGGTGATACTGGTATCGTAAAATACATAATTCAACCGGCAGGCCTGCAGGAGCATGAAATTCCTATCTGTAGAGTAAGCCTGTTCGATGCCAAGGATATTTTAGCTGTACAGGAGCCTATTTACGGACTTTCCGGTACGCTAAAGGTACCATTTCCTAAGCTCTGGTGGCCTAGGGGTATGAATCCTAGTCCTGGATACCTTTACACCTTAAAGGTATGTAACGTATACTCTATCTCTTTTCTTCGTTGTTCTTCTTTATTCCTAAAATAAAAGTAACACAGTGGTTTAAACGATTCTTGCAAATTATTATCTTCTATCTATATGTCGACCAAAATTTGCCCAAGCCTGCAAAATGGATTGCAAACGTAACCAGGAATAACATTACGATTTTAAGGTTACACTGTCGGTGGCGAATGACAGCAAAGTAGACGTCTACAGGCTTCCAATTGGCATCAGAACATTGGCCTGGACGAATACGAGTTTATTACTAAACGATAAGCCCGTGTACATGCGAGGATTCGGTAGACACGAGGATTCGATTCTGAGAGGACGCGGTCTCGATTTAGTCACCGTTGCTAGGGATCATGAGCTACTACAATGGATCGGTGCTAATGCCTATAGAACCAGTCATTATCCTTACAGCGATGAAGTACTCGATACTGCTGACCGGTAATCCCCACTTTCTACTTTTTATCGTATGAAAATATCCAATATTACCGATGTATAAATTACGTGTCTTTTTTCTAAACAGTTTTTAATGTAAAAGACGAAGCGGGATCGGGTAAAGCCGAGACCGTGCAATAAGAATAATGGCGTATATATTATATATCATTTATATAAAAAAATATCACATAAGTCAGGAGAGGTCAACATACTCTTCAATTCGATTTTACCTTTGGCTGCTACATATATCTTTTACTTTGTTTGTTTTTCAAAGGTTAGGCTTTCTCATCATCGGCGAATGTCCTTCGGTAGACACTGAAAATTTTTCACCGATTCTTCTTGCACGTCACAAAGACTCGTTATCGGAGCTCATAAGGAGAGATAAGAATCGACCGTCGGTAATTATGTGGTCCATCGCAAATGAACCCAGGACGCAACTTCCGGAAGCCGGTGAATACTTTAAACAAGTTGCTCATCATACGAAATCACTCGATCCTACCAGACCAATTACTATTGCCATGGCTCGAGCAGTTCAGGTTACTTTCACAAACATTTATATCGTTTAGTCGTTATCGTTTTCCTCGTAGAATAGAATGTTCCAAAAAACTATGTATCGCGTCTTTTCTCTCGACGAAATCTCGATATAAAGTCCACGTTTTTACACTCTTCAATGATGAATTTACCCAGTACGTGGTGGCTGAAGAGCGAATGAAAAAAAAATTGGTTTTTTCGCAAATTAGACGAATAACAGCTGCGATTGCGAAATTTCAATTGTCGAATCGAATTGTATAGAATTGAGTTTGAAATGTCAATACTTTATTCTTTAAAGAAGTGTTCTGTACATTTGTTGCGTAACTAAGCGAATTTTCTTCGATATCGAACGATTTTTTTCCAAATACATGCGTTAATTTATAAAAATTAATACATTTGACTCGAATCTTCGATAAAAATCAGATAATCATTTTGTAGGAAGACAAAGCAGGCGAATACCTTGATGTAATTAGCTTTAATCGTTATAACGCTTGGTATAATAACCCAGGTCGGCTCGATACAATAACGACCAGAGTTATAGAAGAGGCTGAAGCGTGGCACAGAAAATATAATAAGCCTGTGCTTATGTCCGAGTATGGAGCTGATACTATGCCTGGATTACACGAGGTAAGTTATCCAGTAATTACATGGAATTCAAACCAAATCAAAAACAGTAGCATCTTTTAATTTTTTTATGCTTTAGGATTTTCCACGTTGCAAACTTATGACTTAAACATCAGAAGTAATTGTCAATATATTAATATTAATGTCGACGATATTTTATTGTCTTTCAGCTAATTACGAGATCTAATTACATCTTTCATTCGTATTTAGTTAGTTGAGTTAATCCTTTTGCCGATGCGTTTCGTATTAAATATTAGTAAATATCTCACTACGAATAAAATATCATTTTGAATCTATATATGTATTGTTGCTATCTATAAATCGTTAACAATTACTTTAGTATAAATAAAATCTTTTAAATCTTAATTAAAAGAACTTCTTTGGACTGTAGTTCAAATTTATTAACACTGTTCGTTATTTTCCAGTTGCCTGAATATATATGGAGCGAAGAGTATCAGAAAGAAGTATTATCTAAACATTTTGAAGCCTTTGATCAACTAAGAAACGAAGGATTTTTTATTGGGGAATTTATTTGGAATTTTGCCGACTTTCGAACAGCTCAAAGTAAGCAAAAGTATCGAGAAGAAAAAAACAATTAAAGCTATTAATTAATACAAACACTAATAGTCAATAATAAATTTATGCTTATAGCATTCATTCGAGTAGGTGGCAACAAGAAAGGTGTATTTACAAGAGATAGACAACCAAAAATGGCAGCTTATCATGTTCGAAAAAGGTATTATTTTCTTCAAAAAGAATTGGACGGAACAGAAATACCGACAGATCTCGAAGATTATATATCGCTTCACTATTCTTTTCATTCAAGGCTTTAATCTTTTAGTATTTTGCTATTTTTGTTAATCACTTTTTAAAGAGAACAATTTGTTATTTATCTATATGTAAACATTGTATCAAAATTATTTGCTTGTTTGTTTCTCTTGGAACATGTAATCTTCGTCTTTATGAAAATGCTACCATCCCTGAAGTCTAAATATTGCCACCATTATATAAGCATACATCAGTTATTACCATTTTATGTTTAATAAATGCAAGTTTTACATTGATTTTTTAATAAATGTTTTTATACAAAATATAACCGGAGATTTATGTTATTTCGTACCTATTTATAACAATTTAAAAATTCATTTGATTAACTCTAATGCTATTTAAACTAAAGAAAAAATTTTCTAGAGGAAATATATTACCGATTATACAGATACAAAGGAGAAGAAGTATAAATATATAAAAATATTTTATCGTAATTTCCTCGTACGTGTTCTAATGTGATATAGATCTATATATATTAACATGATTCATTGTTAACTTCAGGTTCAACGACTTTCAAACAAGCATCTGCCATTTCTACGAATATTGGTTCAGTCATAGCTAAAGCGATAGCTTTTGTTGGATTCTTATCTGTTAAAATTGCACGCATTATATTTCGTACATGCGGATTCTTTAAGCAGTTCTTCAATTCTTCGCTGTGATGTAACTGTTTCAATTTTTCAATGGGAACTGTGTCTTCCGTTGGAAAATCATAATTAATTTTATTCTTCGTATCTTCTATAACTTTGTTCTCCTGAGACTTCGACTTCGGTGATTGACAATTATTTAGTTTATGCTCCTTACAGCAACCTATGGAACAACTAATACACACAATAAACTATTAAACTAGAGAATAAAGTTGTCTTTAGGGAATATTTATACTTTTAATGTACTACTAACATATAAATATTTCCATATAAAAAAGTTTATCAATTTTGATTAAAAGAAATCTGTTCTTATTATCTATTCTGATAAATCTTCGCTAAACATAAATAGAATTTTCTTATCTCAAAACTAAATAAATACAAACTAATAACAAATATCGTTACATGTTACTATGCATTATCATATTAAATAATTTATATTTTGATTAAAATTACATTATCATTTACAACATCTCATATACATATGATATACATATGTAAATATATTCATATTTCTTAAAATCATTACACATTAAAGCTTATTTAAAATATTGTAACTATGAACATAACCTCTATCATACTTACTAAGCTTCTTCACATACAGGACATTTGTACGAACATTTCGTTTTCCCACATATGCAACAAATATTTGCCATGACGGTAACCACACCGGTATACCACAGAATTTTAAACAATTAAATATATCATTCAAATCATTACGCACTTTATGCATCTACCATTTGCGATTGTTTACTTTTGACCGCGTGACTATGACAAAAATTGACAACTCGAATGATAAGTTAAATAATATATTTAAAATATGTTGATTCTATCTATCCATCATTCTATCAAATATAAATGATATAATTAAATTGAATATAAATAAAACTTCATAAAATCAATTTCCCGTGGCAGTGCATGTTTACCGTTATTTTCTTGTCTGGCATTTAATGTCGAAGTTAACATTCTTGCCATGATCCGTAACTATTTTCATAGAGAAAAGTCAAGACTATTCAAACGCGATATTAATATTTACAACATCATTAAAATTAAACAATTTGCTTAGCATCTAAATAGCTTGATTTTTAACGTATAATATATCATGTGTTCGAAAATTAACAAGATATCCTATTGTGTTAACTACAAGTGCGTTGATCATATAGATTAAAATGGAAATATCAATCTTCCATATTTTTTCAACGATAAATACATACGTATTTATACTAGATATGTTTTTATTGCTATAGAAAAGAATTAAATAAATTCTAATTTCTAAGTTAATCGACACAACGAATGTATAATTTGAAGGATTCAGATACAACAAATGTGGTTTCTTTCAATGAAAAGATTTCAGAAAAAGTCTATCGTCGATCAAAAGGTATTTTAAATTGTTTTGGAAAAAAGTGTTACATAAAATTATTTTTATTCGTAAGTCCATGTACGAACGTCGTTCATTTATTTGTTATTTCAGGTCTCACTGACAGCTTACAAAAAGTAGAAAAATTAGAAAATAATAAAGTAAGTTTAATGATAAAATATATTACGTTTTGGGAAATTTTATATTGAATGTTATTTAATAATTTACTTAATAAACTTATTCTCTTAAAATAACAGCATGATGTATATCAATCACCAGAAATAAATATTAGGAATATAAGAAAGATCAAATGTCTACCTCTAAAATTTCAAAAACTAATGAGTCCAAAGAAAAATACAAAATTGAGTTACCATTTCATTAGTAAGATTTTATGTCATCTATCTGTTAATAATTTTATTCTTATTATTATTTATTTTTTAGCCAAATTGCCATATATGTAATATACTAAAATAATAATGGGATTTTGCTATAGAAAAGAATAATAATTCATCAAATGTATTAAATGTGGGAAGAAATAGTAATATCAAAGTAGGTATTTTTAGTTTATTCAAAACTAATATCTGCGTGATATAGTGTAAATAGATAAAGAGAATTTTTTAAATGTTACTTTATTAGCATATATAATAATATTATTACGCTAAAATGGTACTATTTGTTATTGCCACGCAGCAGAATGTACTCGATGATTCACAAAAGATGGCAGTCCAGTCAGAATTCATACAGGCGTTGGCAGAGGAAAAGTATAGAGCGGATAAAATAAGATTTGGGAATATAAGTAAAGTTAGCATACTTCTCTTGTATCTCCACTTTTTGCTTTGTTATTATCTCTCTTTTTCAAAAACAAGCCATTTTGTTGAGCTTTTTGAAATGTGTCCGGCGAAGAACAATGGAGATTGATTATAAGTGTTTATATAATATTTACAATTAATAATAGAGGAAATGATGCATTTTGAACAATGGTAAAAAATTTTTTATTACAATTTTTATATTACAAAATGGAGCATATATGTATATATGAAAAATAAAGTTAACATAAACATAAAATTAAGTATCCGTGTGTATGCTAATATCTTTATTATCCAAAGAAAATAGGAGTTACTTTTACAACATTAAGTAACCAATAATTACAATCATGCATTGGACATAATAAATATAAACGTTGAAAGATATCTGGTAGTGTAATTTCGAACGAATTCGAATATTTTATTCCTGCTCAGCTTCTACTTTTACTTTTAGTGTGGCAGTAGAAACTAGATTGTCATCTTGCTTGAAATCAAATTTTGCAGTATAATCTCCAGGGTTCATACCGCTGAAAAAATCGCTTACATCGCAATCTGAAATTGCTTGTTCACCCTAGGTGATGAAAACCACATTTTAATATTAATATGTAGCTTAAGTTATGTATACATAATTTATGAATACGTAAATTAAAAAAAAACGAGGTACCTATATGTATAACTTGTGCTGTTATACATATAGGTTATATATAATTAGTATTCTTATCAATATAATTAATATATATTATTTTATATATAATATGTAATTATGCAACATTCGACTCAAAAAAAAGAGATTTTAAAAAGTTGATGAAATATTTCGTATTATATGTATATAAACTTCTTACCTGTGCTAAAGAGCACGAATCATCTTCCGAATTTGGGGTTTCTATCGACGCACAGATATTATAGCCTTCCAACTCCTTTATTGGTTTATCGAATATCTTGTTCATTTCATTAATTACGTCATCGCCGTTATAAATCGTTATATCGGCCTAAAATGAAATATCAAAATATTGCTACCTATCGTATTAACAAGCTTTATGAAGAAATTAGAAAATATATTAAATTTTTGTAGATAACTATCTAATTTACTTAGGAAGGATGATAGGAATGGAGGTGACGAAGCAGAGAAGGTAGAGTCCGAATAAGAGTAAATAATAACGTTAAAATTAAACAATATTTAAATCAAGATATACCTCTATTTCACCTGGACAATCCTGTTTGACAAAAATCTGTGAAGAAATAAGATTATCCGATAGGCTGGGACTCCATGAAACGACTAAGTCGTTGTCTGAGACATCTACGTAAAAATCGGTAATTGTAACTTTGACGGCCTAAAAAATATAAAGAAAAAATTATAACTATTAGAACTATATTATATATTCGATACTGTGGATTTATATAATTGTTTCAATGTTTACCTTGACATGCGATAACGAAACAATAGACAGAATAACCACTGATAATAATTTTTCAATCGATAACTTCATGATGACGGCTTTTAACAGAGATCGTTCAACAATTGTTAGCAAAATCTGTATGTTCTCCAAGTGGTGTTCGGTTCATATTTAAAGGCATAAAAAATCTTCTGTGTACTGTGCCGTCGCTATGATTGGTTGTTTCGAAATAATAGATCATTAACAATCGCGTTCTTTTAACATTATAAGTAGATCGAAATAAGTATAATTATGGTTGCGTGACTTTTTATAGTTTATCAAACACGAAATCGCGGGAAGTAAAACTGAGTGCAGAAAAAATATCGTGTATGATATTGTAGAAAATAAGAAAAACAAATAAGATATCTAAGCATCAATTTTTATGTCTGTTATTTAACGAGATTATGAAGAATAGTCTGTAGGATGTTACGTCTACTTCGTTAGTGTTTCGTTTTTCCTCAGATTTCAGATTTCAGATTAAATAACAATGGAGATTTCAGTTCTATCAGATCAAATTCCTATTATAATATCGACATTTGAAAAAATTTCATTTTACAAATAAAATTTGAGAAAAATTTTTAGATTCGTAAATTGCCTAACTCGATATATTCAAATTTCTGAAAAACGTTTCGCATGCACTAATTTTTTAAATTATCTAAAGCGCTTTAAAGATTATTATTTCGAATAGTCCCGCACTTAGGATTGAGATCTCGATTGAAAATCGACTTATATCGAATATCATCGATACTAATTGATATAGCAAGTATTCGATACAGAGTCTGTCGCACATGGTTTATTGTGGGCATCGTAGCGCAAATGCAAGTTGCCGAATTAATGGAGTTTGAAGATAACTCCGTTATGTTATAAACCCGATAAGAAATGTTGCATGCTTTTGCGGTGCAACGATTTTGCAGTGGTTCGCTTAACCAGAAGTGGGCATAATCAAATATAGATGCCGGTTCGTGTAATAACATTGTTTTGTGTTTTCTGAAACGGGGGTGTAACAGTCTTGTGCATTCCTAGAGTATATATCTTTTTTTCTTTTGAAATGAAACTGAACGTTGCATAATTTTTACCTTCTGCTCGTTCAGTGAACTTCAAACAAATCACCGTTGTGAAAAATTTTCAAGAGCATATACATTGTACTTGAAATTGTTTATTTTTCTTTAACTGAATCAACAATCCAATTATAGCCGAAAGCACATAAAATCGATCCCAATTACGCGATTTGTATCTTTTTTAAGAATTTGTGCCATATTTTAATATTATGCAGTTTTAAACGACGCACGAACAGATACCAAAGTAGCCTAAGTTATTTATAGGTTAGAAAAATACATGCGTGCTGTTGTCAGTTGCGACAACGGCGAATCATCGAGTAATCTTTAATGCAAACCCTATGCATTGGCTTCAAGCAACCAACATACGCGAAGAGATGCCGTTAAGTCAAATAAATCAAAGTAATTTTGTTAGTACCAGTGAAAATGTAAATCCTGGCACTGAGATAGCATCAACTTGTTATACACCTCCACCTTCGTATCACAATATTAATTTACCTCTGGGACACCCATCGACTCTGACTAACGATTGTGGTGCACCACCTACCTATGAAGAAGCCATAGATCCAAATGGTAAATAATATTCTTAACAGAATACGTATCTCTGTCTGTCTCGAATTGTTTCTGTAATTTCATCGAAGCGAAGACAATATCTCTACCATCCCATTCTCTACGATATCATTGCAGAGAAATCTTTGTTCGGTTTAATTTTGAATAACAATTTATAGGATCGGAATGTTGAAGAAGCGATTGTTTCTATTTTTTAGCTCCACCTCCGTCTTATGATTCATTGTTTGGTCGTATGAGGGAAGCTCATAAAGTTTCAAAAGGAGTGTTTGATTTTTTGAAAAATATTATTGTTTTACTTCTAGGCACTAGTAAGCAAAAATGTGAATTAATATTTTGTTAGGTTTTAATACAAGGATTATTAATTTTGTATTTCAATGGTTGCAGTTGGATGTACTATTATCTTAGGAGTAACGATAGTAGTTCCAATATGTATGGTGGTCATTGGAGGAATTTACCTTTACGATTGCCCACAAGGAGAGTATATTCCTGTTTATTTATTAGTGGGTGGTGGTTTTGGTGTTTTCAAGCAGTTGTTGCATTTATCTGCAAGAGTACGTCAACGTCAGGAAGAACGAGACGAGGAAAGAATGCGACAAACTCCCACGCAAACATTAATTAATTGTTTTATGCTTGGCTGGTTTATTATAGGTTAGTAACACAAATATACGAATCAAATGTTTCTTTGGGTGTTTATAATTTTCCAATTTTTATACTCTGTGTTTGCCCACAGGCTCAATGTGGGTATATAAGGAATATGAGCCAAATTACGATCCATCTCTTGGCAAATACTGTAACAAAACATTGTATTTATTCGCCTTTTGGCTAATTACGGCGGTTTACATATTTTTGGGAGTGATAACCGCTGGCTTTTGCAGCATTTCAGTAGCAAGCATCGCGTTTCAAAGACCACCGCCCGATCTAATGTAAAACACTATGGTGTCATTTTAAAGGAGAGAAACAGTCGTTCAGAAATCTATCATTTTGGGAACAAAACGACAAATTGAAAACAAACATTTTTTGTGAATATACAAAAATCACGTTATAACAGGGCACAAAATTTCGTCCACGCTTTACGTACCTGAGATGCTTAAAACAACAATCTACGAACGGATCGTTTGCACGTTTAAAATGCACATAAAATGCGTTCGAATTCCAAAATTTGATGCTTGCAATCGTCGCAACGTTCCCTGATTTTTGAAGCATACTCGATTGCGTTTCAATGTCTAATTAATTAAGGCGACTTTTGCTATGAATTAGGTCAAATCTTTCTTAAAATTGGTGTATATGTAGAAAAAGTGGAAAGGAAAGAAGGAAGTAAAAACAGTCGATGATGTTTTAATCGACTCAGGGCTGTGGATATTTCGCAACAAATGCGAATTTTTTTGATATTGTGCCAAGAAATCGTAAAACCGTAAAACGGAGTATTTTGCTATCGAAATATTGGTCGCTCGTATCAACATCCGATTCGAATTCTTAACTTGAGTAGAATCTCGGGACGTGTTATAAAAAGAAGAGAGAAAAGAATATTCTAACACGGAAGTGTCATCGAGGACTGTGATAACATATACGAGAAATTATGCCGTCATTAACGTGTTGATTCATGACATTCATATTGTGGCGTCTAATTAAACAGCAGCTGTTCTCTTACAAGTGAAAATGGTTACATTTACTTGTATAATAGCTTATTGTTGAAAGACTGCGATACTTCGCAAAACACGTTTTTTTATTCCTTTGCCCTCTCCTCCGTCCTTTTAAAACCTTTCGACCTTCATTGAGGCTTTATGTCAATGTAGTCGAATAACCGTTTTATAAAGACTCGTTTGAAGATTAAGGAGTAAACTATATATATATAAAATATACATATGTATATTAAAATACATGCTCCTTTTAGTATTTCGAAACTATTTGAATGCCAGTATTTATTAGTGCCGTCAGAAAGAACAATTTTTAAGAAATCTTCGTATTTGATTGGTATTTAGGTTAATGTAGTGGAGGATGGAGAATTTTCGATTGGAAAAACAAAATGTATTCCTCGACGTTTTATTAATGTAAAAAAAAATGTTCTCCACTTTCATATGGCTTATGAACTAATCTGTACTATTTGTATTTTTTCAAAGCAGCATTTTCGTCTTCCTATTTATGTCCGGTTCAACCAAATGTTGTAAATATATTTCGAAATCATATCTCTCTTTCTCTCTCTCTCTCTCTCTCTCTCTCCGTCTCTCTTTCTCTTTCTTTCTCTCTCTCTCTATATATATATCTATCTATCTATGTATGTATGAATATTTACGTGTTTCCATCGACGAACGTAATTTTGAAATACACACGCTTGTACGTTATAAAAGAGAAAAAGAAATAAAAAAGAAAACTTAAATAATCGAACGATACTAGCGAGCTTGCGCTTTCAAGAATACATGTAGAAAACACACAAATCATTTGCGTATCTAAAACTATGTTAAATCGATCTTTGGAGTAAAGCTGAATAGACTGCAATCGTTGAGCGTACGCTTAGCTAATATTATGAAAACATATCCTCGTTATATCTGTTGCTGATATTCAATGTAATACACCTTACGTATGTACACATATACGTTACATATATACTTTAAACACTTCGTCAAATGAAACTTCCAAACAAGACCTACGTGTGCCTGTAAAATAAGTTCTTTACATCGTCTGATATTATGGGCACATACGCACATTTATTATTATAATTTCCTAAATAAAGTGCTTAAAAACACGTTGCGTTTTTGCCTAACCACATGTAAAATTGGTATCGAACATGTATAAGTTTATATTGTATTATAATTATCTTTTTATACTTTTATTTGTTATTGTGAGAAATATTTTAGCGAATTTGTATAACCTTTCTCCTTGCGCACAATGCTATCACCTTCGGTAAGAAAATAATATTGAAATTAGATCATAGAAAAGTTTGATTCTTTAACAAATGGCGCAAAAGTTTATAATCGAAGAAAAAAATTAATATTTTTTATTTTACATTTAACGTTGATTTTTTGTAATTAAATTGCTTCAACGAATGATCCAGGATAATCAGCGTCTTCGTAATAACGACCGCCTTCACCTTCGTATTCGTCTTCGTACTTTAAGTACCGTTCCGGTGCCATTATTAAATCTTCCGAACACCTATCTAATAGAGAGTCCACAGATACCTAGAAATTAAATATTTTTTAAGCAATCAAACTAGAATGAAAAAATATCGATTATCCTTCATTATTAGAGTTGTACGAAAGGAACTCGTATTTGCGAATCTTCGTCACAGATAGCTCGTTGAGTGACTCAATTGTTTACGGAATTACAAAAACGGATGTATTGCGTAAGATAAAGTGAGATTCCGAATGCAGGTATCGCGATTTTATTAATAAACACAGTGTCGACAATCAGTCAGATAAAAATGGAAACAATTGGAAATATTCATTGAAAGCCTAAGCAATTATTTCAGATGGTTCGTTTGTTCTACTTGCATTTTTTTAAAGCGAATCTCTGCACGCCGAAGCAAATTTTTGAAATCTGAATATCGTGGAATAGTTGCGCGGTATACGTTTATATATAAGCATGGTTTAGTGAAGAAGGAACGAGCACGCCGTGTACATATATATATAATTCCAATTGATTATGCATATCTCACCTCTTCCTGTAGAGGTACTGGCTCAGGTGGCAATAAATCAGCATTATACGGCGTAATGCAACGGGCTCGCCATAATGCGATAACGCCTTTCTTTAAAGCAAGCGGTTCAAATGGCTCAGGTTTAGCTTCTTCCAGTTTCACATCCTCGGTATCTGCTAATTTTTTATTTCCTTCGCCAGCCTCGGCTTCTAACGTGGCAGGTTCAGTTACTTGTCCTTGCTGAATCGAATATTTATTATCCTTACGCAAGAAAGATAAATATCTTAAAAAACGAATTCTCACCTCGACAGGTTCTTCCTTTGTCTCGTCGTAATCAGGATCTTTCACGTGCACGTAGTGTCCATGTTGCATGCAAGCGTTTTCAAAAGTGAAGCAGCCGCGTCCATAAGGCTATTACGTTACACTTTTATTAGTATTTATCCACGCTTTGATATATATAGTAACGTATTAATAAAACATTTTGGAAATAATTCGTATAAATATTAACTCGCCAAATTCAGTTGCCAAAATCCGTGGAATCGATGTCGAGGGTGAATTAATTGCCCAGGCCCTTGCATACGATCTTTGATCCACGTGCCCATAAATTTCGTGTTCGTGTCGGCGTAAAGATAAGATCCCATGCCGTGTCGAAAATTTTTCTTCCAGGAACCTTCGTAAACGTCGCCATTTACGTAATAATATACGCCAAAACCATATTTCATGTCACGTTTCCACTCACCTACGGAACGCGTGAAAAACTTCGTACGAACATACGTCTGTACGTACGTTGATTTTCGAGTTATGGATGACCAAAGAAAATTTTGTCAAAGTCTTCGGCGCAAAGACGTGCAGACGCTTCCGATACTTTCTTCGATCGTTCATAATTCGCAGAACGTAGAACGTACGGTTCTTAGCTACATATTTTAATACGTAGATTCATTGCCTAAAGCATGAACATTTATTTACGAATCACCCTGTATGGTTACGGAGGAAAATTCACGCCACTTAAAAATGCCAGATCTCATAAAGGATATAACCTACCAAACACGAAGATGGTACCCCGCTGAGGGTAGCCACCCGCATGATAATCAAACAGCCAAAAAATTCTACCAAATGTCCAAATCGGGCAAATCGTGAATGTAAACAACTAAATAAAAAAAAAAAAACTTAAAAATGTGAATCGTGCTTTAAAACGATAAGAGAAAGATAGAGATTTCATTAAATAAACGGCTTCGGATAGTACGAGAAAAGGCTTAAAAGTTTGAGTTTCATCGTTTATTTGTTATTAAATTGTTAGTTAGGCTCAACATCGACCATCCTTTGTCGTCATCCTTGCCCAATGGCTATCTGTCGTCTCTTACCCTCGTATCGCGTTCCATCAGGGTACCAAAATGTTCCTTGACCGTATTTAACGCCTTGTCTCCATTCACCGTCGTAACGAGCACCGTTTTTAAATACGTAAAGTCCCGCACCGTGCCTCAATCCCTTGCAATATCGTCCGACGTACATATCGCCGTTTGGAAGCAAAGCTTTTCCATTACCATGCCTATCACCTTTTTCATTTCTTTCACCTTCGTAAAGCTGCAAACGTATTCCGATACGAAGGAAGGTTAATTACGAAGGTTAACTTTCCTAATAAGATAGGACGAAGCTATGAAATTCAACTTGATAAATCGATTTGATAAGTTTGCAATACTCTTGTAAATTGTACAACTAAAAGTTACTCTTATTCGTTGTGAATCGTAAATAAAAAGCTCTCTCGATCGGAAGACATCGGAAGTTATTAATTTAACGTACTCCTAGTGGATTTACTTCCTCTTCTCCTCTCTCGCCAGCCATTTCTCCACCTTCCAACATGTTATCGTATATGCGCGAACCACCCTTGCCCTTGCAATGTCACGACGTCATTGAAAACGTGCAGCATCTCTGAAGTTATCTCCCTAGATCGGTATCTCGTTAAGAAACGAGATTATCCTTTCTATAGGTCTCAAAATTGCAAGTTACACAGACATCGTAATTACGCAGATATACAGCGAGCAATTGAATCAAACTAAACATTGCTGTCAACGCTCCTTCAAAAGTCGCGCAATTTATTTAACCAAATAGAATTAATTTGATCGCAATATATGACACGCTATCAAAAAAGTCTCAGCTTTTTAATAATCTGTACGATACAAGAATTAAAAGTACGAAATACAGTATGATCTTTAAGCTCGACAGTCAGCAGCATTTTGCACAGGAAGAAATTTCACACTTTGGTAGATCGGAGAAATAAAGCGGAGAGTAAGTCGAGCCATCGCACGTGCAACGAATACAGTATCGTACGCAGGATGGTGGTGGTTCTATTTTTGGTGCTGAACATTGAGGTAGCTCTGGGCAAGGAGGTGGCAAGCAGTCAACCACGTACAGCGCGGGTGGTTTCTGTGGTGGTTCTGGACGTTGTCTACATACCTAGGAGCGAAACAAAACGCGTTCGTCGTTGAAAATTGTAAAAATTTATTTTAGAAAGCTACAGGAAGAATTCTATCGTATCGAAAGAAGAATGAAAGTTTTGTAAAATATGTAAGAAGGTTAACGTTAAATCCAGTCTCGTTAATAAAAATTGTAAGTATTTTAAAACGTACGAAAGATGGACACGGACGAGGACAACGACATTTTAGCGGTGGGTATTGCTGAGGAGGTGGACAGCCGTATTTCGGACAACAGAACGGCGGAGGCTTGCAATGATAACACGGTGGAGGCAGAGTGCTGGTGCGCCTTTTTTCTTCGCGACAAGACATGTTTATCCGGAGAATTTATTTCTACGAAAATCGAGATTGTTTTCTACAGCATCTTTAGATATAAATTGTCGAAAAAGGAAATAACAGCTTCGCGTGACTTAGAGATTT